CTGCGGCCATACAAGTACGATAGGAGTCATGTTGCTGGCTTTACTGATAACTGGTGATTGTTACGCGTAAGCAAGTTGCAAAAGATTGAAACAGAAAGGAGAAAGTGGTAAAGACGGCCGACCTCCTGCTCCTTATCTCAGCTGTTCTGTGCTCTCATGTGTTATGCAACTCGAGTTCCCCTTTGTGATATAAAAGTGATATTATCAGAAATGTTTTGAGTTCGATATTATTCCCCAGTATTTTGTTTTGGTGGCAGTGCAGTGCTGACTTCCCGGTCGTGTTTGTTTTATTAAATGAAGATAGAAGTAAGGATAGAATAATAATAATCACAGTGAAAAACAAAATTGTGATTATGATATCAATAATTATTGTCATTAGTGTCGCTTTTGCCAGTATTAATATTGTTATTATTATCGTTGTTACTATTTGTTATTATTATAGTATTTTTATTTGTTATTATAGTAGTAATGGTGATAGTGAGAGTAATAGTAAGAGAAACAGTAACAGTAACAATGATATAGAACCGTGATATAGTAGGGGGTGAAGCACAGCCGTCGCTTGACATGTGGTTGTGCTCAGTAACATGAATCTCCATACTGATACTCAGGTAGTCTTGGTAATTTCGTTGCTTCCTTCTGTTGAAAATTTACAGTAATTTTTTTTTGCAGTTTCACGGACGAGGTTGATTGTTGCGGCCGTGGCACTGGAAATGGCATGCTACCAGGTAGGTGTTCCTGGTTAGAAGAAACGTGACATTGTCATGCAGAGATGGCTGCTTTTTAAAAACTGCTAGGATTGTTGATACTTTTTTTCAGCCAAACTGATGAGTAGGCGATCCGCGTTTAACAATCTGTTCTTAGCATTGTAAACAAACTTTTCGTACTGATGCCGCAACTAAGCCGGGATATCTTGCCCAGTTAGCTCAGTGTTACCTCCTCCACCCCTTCACCGTCTTTTTCAGCGCTCTCTTATTGAGAACGATGAATCTGCCATTAATTGCCCATAACGTCACTGTTAAATGTCAACAGTGGGCGGACTTCTCCTTTGCAATTTCAGCAATTCGTTTGCGAGATATGCTTAAGTAGACCGGTAGCAACTTTGCTCCCAAATGGAAAGGCGGGAATAGTTTGTTATAGAAACGAATCAGTAAAGAATTGTTTTTCAAGTACTGTGTT